AGGAGGTGGAGGCTGCCTTCACATCAAAGCTATCACTAATGGACTGTGTCTGTGTGTGGCTTTGTCTGCTCTGTTACCACGACGTCCTCACTATCACACAATGAAGTGAAAGGCGCCTTTTAGTCAGTGACACTCGCTCGCTGTGTGCTGGACGCCGAAAATGAAATTCAATTCATAAATTGATAAGTGGTGGTTGTCCCCTGGTGAGAGCAAATGGAATGACTTTGCCTCAGGGAATTTAGGAAACACTGCTATTACACACACACACACACACACACACACACACACACACACACACCCACCCACACACACACACACACACACACACACACACACACACACACACAACAAACACAAACTAGAACCTCTACCCTTCATTCACTCAGCATCAGTTCCACTTCATTCCCGCTTGAGGCTTTTCAAACTTGCAAACACAGACACACACGCACACATGCTCACACTCACACATACGCAGTCTTGTTTTCCTTTGAGGAGACAACTTATTATCTGTGTCTCCGCTGATGGGGTTTTATGAAGTTGTGTGTTTCAAGGCCAAGGTCAGAAGCAGAACTCTTTCCCACGCTCTCCCATACTGCCTCACATATACGTCCTCTTGTGCATGAGCTGGCGCGTGAGCAGCACGCGTGTGTGTTGTTACTCAAGCTTTGCGTCTCGGTAAAGTACGCCTTACATATGTGTATGTGTATATCCATATGTGTATGCATGTGTGAGGAAGAATAGCTGTGGATGAGCCCTTCCAATTGCTTCCATAATTCAGCCGCAGCTTCCTTCCCTCTCTATCTGTCTAGGGAATTAACTGCTGCACTGTGTGATATCACTGATATATTCATCTGCCTGTGTATTACCATCGCCATGATTGCTTTCCTGAGTACTGCTCTCTCTCTGTTGTTTGGTTGTTTGAGGTGGATTTCTGCACAATATACATTGTGTGACGTGAGCATCCCGCTCCCAGGAGGCATTCAGACACTGAGAGAATGGGTCTACAGTATGTGCATGTAGGAAACTTCCTTCTCTGTGTGAACACTGTGCCTCCGAACAGAGGGAACGCATGCAAATAAAATCACACACTTTCTGCCGTTAAGCAAATTAGCGAGAGCAAATGTTTGCTCAAACCCTTGGAACGTATGGCAGGCTGGGGCTTTTGCGCACTTAAAAACCGTGCTAGAACAATCTCCTTTTCAGGCATAGCAACACCCGCTGAATTACAAATCAATTTGGCGTTCAGCTTCAGGATGAAGGATGACAACAGCTGCATTAAAATGCAATTAACAGTTAAATGCAGTAATTTTAGTCAAATGCCAATTCAGACACAATTCCTAACAGATTTGTTATTATTCTGGAGGTCAGGCCGAGTTTGGTCTATAGTCTTGTCCTAATCCTGCACACTGTTTGATTTAATAATGACAGAAAGACAGATTAAGATACAGCAAAAGAGAAAAGATGTAATGAGAGACGGACGGGAAGAAACAAAGACTAAAGGACAAAAGTCGCAAGAGGAAAACAGACATCGGGATGAAGACGCATGAGAAAGATAAAAAGGCAAAAAGACAAAAAGACAAAGTGAGTAGGAGAGACTGTGGCATCCTCTCGAGTGTAATGATGTGGTGTTGATTTCTTTCATGGAGGCATTATGCATTAAGAGGGTGATGATAATGAAGCCGCAGAGCACACTGAACAGCAAGCAGGAAAACTCATTAGGACATGAGTGGGTCTCGGATTTTTTTTGCGCCGAGTTCGACGTTCCTTGTTTGTGTCTGAGCACGCGTGTGTGCACATTGTTTCAGTCCC